TGCACTTATTATAAAAAGTCTTCATATAATCTGTTTGTTCTTGAAATTTAACTTTATTTTGTTTCCTTTCTATTCCATTCCATTAAATATGAGCCTTCAATCGGTAAAAGGAATATTTGCCATATGCTATTTGACTATTTAGAATTTAAAATATTTTACAAAATATTCTACCCCTTTAGCACTTTAAGCAGCATGGATTCTATATATAGTATCTATGTCTATGAATATTACTTTTGCTTATTTAAGTGTCTTCTCGTTCTTTTGATCTGTTAATGTCAATTTGTGTCTCATGCTAGATCTTAAACTATTTTTTTTAAACTCCCTGCATACAAATATGTTCTATCATTTTCAATAATAACTAATAAGCAGAAAAACTATGCTTATATGTTTATGAAAAATTTTGTAATATTTTGAAACATTAAAGAATTTTATTATAATCAAATATAAGCTAAATGTATTATAATGTTCTCACAATCTGGAGTGTTTATCACGAATAACAAAAATTAAAATTACGACTTCATCAAAAACGCTATGCAAAATAAACCTTCACCCTTCACTTATTGACGTCCTGTCTTCAGAAATGGAATCTAAAATATTTACTTACCACTTTTATGATTTATTGAACAATGATAACTTTAGACTTATATTCTAGATTTACATTTAGATTAGATTCTGGATTCAAAACTTTTGTTTTGATATTATCTACTACTGCAGTTTTTTTTAATACAAATATGGTAAAAAATGGGACCTGTATTTATTTATAAATTCAAGTCGCAATATCTTGAGTGAAGGCCTCTAAAATTAAGACTTTCTTTAATAAATCGAAAAACTGAAATTTAAATGTTGCATGTAAAGCAATTAAGAAATGGAGATATCAGATTAAAGCTATTTCTCATCTCCAAAACTAGGAAATAGTGCTATTTAAACTATAACTTAGAAAAAAGCTATAGCATATACAGTGGCTCACAGCTTATTTGATGCAAGCAAAAATTTTTTGAAAAATGTTGTTTATTTCAAAATATTTTGCAAAATTAAAAAAACAAAGTATGCAGAGTTATTGTTTATAGTGTGTTTATTCATTTTAAGAAAAAAAAAATCCAAAAATCTTCTTCCATTCCTTAGTAATGCATCAAAAACCAAAACCAAATGAAAAATTCATGTCACAGCTTAAATGATGCAACATCAAAAAAACTAATATTTTTACAAACTTCCGGACTAATTCTAAGTACTTAGTACTTTGTTGGATATCCCTTATTAGTAATAACAGCATGAAGCCTTTTTGGCATGGAATCAACCAGTTTTTTGGTATAATCTGGACTAATTTTACTCCACTCTTGCTGTAAAGCGTTTCTTAAGTCAAATTTGTTGGGGATGTCATGTTTTCTGATATTTGTCTTCAAAACGGACCACAAATTTTCAATAACGTTCAAGTCTGGTGATTGTGCAGGAGTTTGGACAATGTGTGGACATTGCCATATCAACCACGTTTGTACTAATGCTGACTTGTGCTTAGGGTCGTTGTCTTGGTAAAAGCGAAAATCATCTGCAATCTGCAATTTCGTTGCACTTTGAATCAAATTTTCTTGAAGAAGCTTTAAGTAAATATTTTTATTCATAGATTCTTCGATGAAGACCAAATTTCCTACTCCATTTGATGACATACATGCCCAAACCATAACATTACCACCTCCGTGTTTTACGGTAGCACGAAAATTTTGTGGTTTGAGCTCAGAATTGACTTCGCGCCGTACATAAGATCTTCCATCTGATCCAAATAAGTTTATTTTGACTTCGTCTGCAAAAAGTACATTTCGCCAAAATGCTGGACTCTTATTTAAATGCTCTCGTGCAAACTGCAACCTTTTAATTCTATTTTTTGCACATACGAAAGGTTTCTTTACAGCTATTCTTTCATTGAAATTTGATTCTCTCAATATTCTGCGGACGGTTTCAGGATGACAAATTTTTCCAAAATCTATTTTGGCCATGTCTGTCAACTTTGGAGCGCTAATTGTTGGATTTTTTCGAGTTTGGTTTACCAAATACCTCGATTCTTTTTCTGTAAAAATTTTATTGGAAGCCTTTCGTCCCTTATTTTCTATGCGATTTTCATGTACGATACGTTCAATTATGTGTTGAACTGTTGAAGAGCCTATATTTACCATTTCACCAATTTTACGCTGGGGAATTCCCTTTTTAAAGTACTCCAACAAAAGTACTCTAACTCACGCTTTTCAATTGATGTGCGCCGTCCCATGGTTAACAAAATGCACTCACTTTAATTTTTATAATATTTTCGCTCAAAAACTAGATTACAAATGATCGCAGAATAAAATTATTTTAATTTCTGTGTAATTTGGCGACAAAAATAACGGTATTCTTAACTGCATCATTTAAGCTGTGACATGAATTTTTCATTTGGTTTTGGTTTTTGATGCATTACTAAGGAATGGAAGAAGATTTTTGGATTTTTTTTTTCTTAAAATGAATAAACACACTATAAACAATAACTCTGCATACTTTGTTTTTTTAATTTTGCAAAATATTTTGAAATAAACAACATTTTTCAAAAAATTTTTGCTTGCATCAAATAAGCTGTGAGCCACTGTATATAGCTATATAGTATATATAATTGAAAAAAAATGAAAAGTGGGACAAAAGCTATAACTTAAAATACTAAGATTCAAATTAAACTAAGAAGTAGTGTGATACGGTTCTAGAACTAAAAGAAGTGGTATTATACTTAGTGCTTAAAGAACAGAAAGTTCTGTATTGAAACTTACCTCACAACAACTACTAAAACGTAAGATTAAAATTATGTTTTGAAAACAAAGCGAATGTGATATTTAAGCTATATCCTAAAAAACCAGGAAAAAGTACAATTAATTTTAAACTAATGTGATTGGAGATACCTTTCAAGTACTAAAAAAAGTAATATTTTACAACTACAAAATAGGATAATGGAAGTCAAAAATACCTATTAAAAAAATTAGAAATAAATGAGATTAAAATAATACATATTTTAAAAATTAATTGATGTGACAGAACCAAACAGATACTGGATAAATGAGTAACGACTTAAAACAAATTTTAAAACCTGTAGCTTTTGAGACTTCTGCAGATTATGATGCAAACTGTAGATCACTTATGAAGTTATAAGCACATATATATTACTGCTTTCCTGAACTCTTTCTAGAGACTAGGGCCTCCTACTTAATATCAATTAAATGTATGTAAATTTTTTGCTTCTTGAAAAATTTACTGTTCATGTTGGCAACAAAACTTCCATTTTTAGAATATTAATATTGACATGGATTTTAAATTTAGCCAGTAAAATATTTAATATATATATTAAAGCATTCTTTTAATGCTATTATTTATTGCTTACTATTACTTAATTTTTGTTTATCAAAACAAATGTGAATTTTTCTTAAACGTTGTTATTGTTTCTGCAATAAATGGATATATCCTCCATATCCTCCATGTACGAAATTTCTAGCTTTCATTACTATTTAGCTAAAGCTGAACCAAATCATTTTATTAACCAACTGATTTTTTTTAATTTTATGCACTATAGCTGCGCATTTACTTTAGCTACCGTTCGCAATTATCTTTAACACCTTTACGATATATTGTGAAATAAAGATACACATCATCGTTGGCGTAGCCAATAATATGATTCCTTTCCACACAAAATACACACAAAGCAGAAATTTGTTATTTAAATGAATGCGCTAAGAACAACACAATCAACGGATACATTCTGCGCATATGCAGATTAAGATACATCTCATGCCGTATCATATGGAGAATTGATCCTTGTGGATTTAAGCGTTTCAACAAAACGTCAAAACAGTAAGTTAAAAACTTTTACTATTAGACTGAGAGAGCTAAACTAATTTGCATATTGTGTAGATTTACACATTGTATCATAATTTGTCTTCCAGTTTTTCTTGTTGCGTAATATTTGCTATCTACTCCGATGTTGATTGAAGAACTTGTTCACAACAGATTGACTTGCTGTTCAAGACTTTAGCTTTGAAGACTTTTGTTCTTGTAGCAAAAACACATTCGTTTTTATAGGATATAAATGAAGTGTTCTACTTCACAGGTTTCGAGTTATTGAGTTATTGAGTTATAACACCAAAAAAGATATAAATTTTTCAAAATTTTTTGGAGGAGGATATATACATTTCAAATAATTCAAAGAAAATGGATTTGTGGAAAAAACTTTTATTGCTAAATATTAAGAATTGAAAAACTTTATTCTGATCTTATACCCTTTATATCTATAAGTATGTTAGTCTAATAATATATTAAGTTTGATGCGAGTCTTACATCACAGTGAAGAAAAGACTTTGAAGACTCTGTAAACTATAAATAGTGTTGATCATCTCGATGCGTCTGAACGATCTTGCGTTACCCAACTATAATATTCCAATTGTAACTATATACTATAATAAAATTTAGTTTTAAAATTTAGTGCTTTTAATTTTTACAAAGGGTAGTTGAAAATTTGTCGAAATAACAAGTTTTTTCTATGGCTACGATATAAACTAATAAATCTGAATTAATTTTTCTTCAGTTTCTTACATTATTTCTAGTATTTAATGAATTTGAATATCATTCCAATATACTGAAAATTTTAACCAGATTAGTTTAGAAAAAAACAGAGATATTAACAAAAGAACAGACAAATAGTCGAATGAATATACAGACAAACTGACGAACAAACGAAGAACTGCCGAAGTAGTCAAACAGACAAAGGAACATAAGTCCAATATAACATTTTTTTTTTACGGAAGTTTTGAAGAATAATATATCAATTTTATTAGTCTGATAAACTGACAGAAATTAAGAATAAGTTGTAAATTTAAATAAACTCATTCACAAACTTATTTTAAACTGCGTTGTGTGTTTCTTATCTAAATTCCATATATTCATATATATGGTATATCATTGAAAATATATTTGATGTTCAATTTTGATTTTATTTTCAGGGGTATTGCAAAAGTTGGTGAGCCTAATAATATATCACCTCTTACTTCCGGTATTATGTATATGGATCCAGCTATACATTCCACACTACGAAGAAAACAACGTCGTTTAGTACGTGATAATCCAGGAGTACTTGGGGCACTGGTCAAAGGTGCAAATCTTGCTATCTCCGAATGTCAACATCAATTTAGAAATCGACGTTGGAACTGTTCGACTAGAAACTTTTTAAGAGGAAAAAACCTTTTTGGCAAAATTGTGGATAGAGGTAAGTGAATACAATAACATAAGCTTAACTTATTATTTTAGTCAGTAGTAGTTTTTTTATATTCTTTCTTTATTAATATGTATGTATGTGTCTTTATAGTAGAAATTAATAATTTTTGTTTTAATAAATTAGTTAGGAGTTAGGTTATTATTAACTTTAAACACAGTAATTTTAGATTTAGATAGACTAAAATATTTAGTTTGTTCTTCTCAGTTCCACAAATTTCTGAAACTCTCGCTCGATACACAAAAGAATACATTACTTTAGAATTATTGTTATAAATGTTTTTAAAATTACAACTTTTGAAATGATCGTATTGTCAAATATTAGTTATAGTCAACTTTCAGTTTAAACATCGCATAAGCAAGAAAAAAAAATTTAAAAAATTTGCGATCCTTATTTTAAAAGTTTTAATATAAATTTTATAAATAAAATAGCCAACCATTCCGTTGTTATTCTCCTAGCATCACATCCAAAAGTCCAGTAATAATAGTTTTTTTTTCGTTTCTTTTTTTTATTTTTTTTAAGTGTCATATACAGCCCATGTGTCGGTCTCGTCACACATAATTGACATAACAAACATTTTTTTTTTTGTCGTTGGCTACCACTTTTGATATTTCCTTCAAATAAATTTTATTTCCCATTTGATAAAATCCTGGTTGCGCCGCTGAATGAAATAATCCAGTTCACGATAAAAAAGAAAATGCTTGATAATGTGAACGCAGACATTGACCGTAACTAAGTATTGAGCAAATTTTGGGTTCCCGTAAGATGTGTGCACAGTAGAAGAAATAATTCTGAAGTGCAACATAAGATCTCTTTTAGGAATGGATTCATAAAAAATGTATATCAATCGAGATTAATATCACTTAAAAAGCAATGAAATTGACGAAATTGATCTGATAATATGTAAAGTTACTGAAAGAATATGAAAAGAAACATTTTAGAATTCACAAAAAAAAAAAACAAAAAAGAAAAAGGTTGTTGTGAACTTAAAAATGCAGTTTTTGTTATGAAGAACGGAAGATGAATTAAAACAAGGACAAAATTAAATGACATAAAATAAGTATGATATGATTAGATAGAAAATAAATATAAATGTGTTTTTTTTTTAAATAAACAAAATTATTACATTAGGAAAATTTCTCATCAGATATACAACACAATATTAAAACGTCATCAAATAAGTTTACAGTAGACCTTTAAAGATAGCAAAGCAATTAAGAATTGAAAACAAAATTGACTTATTAAAATAATAATAATATATAATGTATTGTTATTTCATTCATGTAATCTCTCTCGATCTATGGAGTCATAAAAAGATGGTTAACTATAGCTATAGCGTAAGGGAAGCAATTACGTCGACCGGCAATAAAATTACAAACAGTGGTTTTATGTGATAGTTCTGTGCACCGAAATTGATCGCTGGGATATAAATTTGAATAAAATGTTGTTAGTGTGTAATTGCTCAGTAGCTTGTTTACTTGCATTGATTTGCGCATTCCATGTCATAACTTCGCACATGCATAAGAAAATTGTTATATGCATGCGCATACGAAGTGCAACAAAGTAGGCAAAGTAGTGCGAAGTCATATAGCAAAGTGCGTTGAAGAGAGTGCTAAAAGTGCTAAAAGTGTTATAGGCTGGGCATCCCTTTTTTTAGACAAACATTGCAACATAAAATAACAGCACAATCGTTATAACAAACTCAATCATTTCAAAAATAGACAATATGAGTTACGCTATGAAAGTTTTAACAATATTACGATACAAACCCTTTCTCTTCAGTTATAATGGAAATATCTGTAGCTAAAATAAATATACTAAAATACACAAATTGCAAATTTTAACATTCTATAGAGAAGTCCTCTACAAACATTTTTAATGTTAATATATACAACATAGGAATAATGTTGATATCTTTGCTGCCTAAAAGTCTATATATTCTACAATATTTATTATATCTATTTTCTGTCACTACGTCTGGTTCTATGTCTGTCTATTTTTCTGCCTTTCTGTATGTTTATTTTTCTGTTTACATATCTTTCTACCTGTACATTTGTTTATCTGTCAGAGTCTGTGCGTTTGTGTGTCTGTGAATTATTTAATTAACATCTATATATTATGTAATTCATGGTTCAAAAACATTTAGTTCAGCTATTTAAATTGAATATATTTTTTGTTCACATAAGAAAATAAAACCACTTTTTTTTTTGCCATTTGCTAAAATTGAGCTAATCATGTGCAACTTAATTTCAAGAAAACATCATTTTTTGACACCTACTGCAAACAGTTAACACTTGAAACAGCATTTTATTTTAAAAATATAGGCAGGAAGTAAAAACATCACAATTTATTTAGCAATATAGGGTGGTCTGGTCGTACATAAAAGGCCTTTCATAACAGCATTTTATTCCTGCATAACTTGTGCAATTATCCAGTAGAGCATTACCTATACTGTGCAACTAATGAAACCATGATATACATCTTCCATTGACAGCTCATGACATATTTTGCGCTTGAGGCCTATATTATCAGCACACCATGAGCTACTGTTAACACTTTGCTGCTGATATACTGTTAACATAAACTCATGCATACATAATTACATTTTAGTGGTGCTCAACTTCTGTTGACATTTAGATGCACACTGTTCTGTGTCCATTGTATTTCAATTTTATTTCTACTATAGCTAAAGCTACTATACAACTATCTTCTTCTTGTTGTTGTTTGTTGTTTGTTGTTGTTGTGTTTTTCTTCTTATTATTATGATTTCTTCTGCATATTGCAATAATCTTTTAAATTTAGTTTTTGAAACGGTTTCCAAAATTTATGGCATGTCTGCGGGATATCTTTTCTGCCTAATGAGTCCGTTTTCTTCTTTTTGTATTAAATTGTAATTGTTAATTGTTTGTGGGTATGTGAGCAATGTGTTTGCAAATTAATACCCCAAAGCATGTCTATATATATATATATATGTATATATGTATGTATATGTTTGTAAAGAGGGTGTCACCTTAAGGGGTATAATCGAAATATCTAAATTTAGCATCATCTATAGAATAAGGTATTATACGCATGAGACCTGCTGTTATTCAGAACGTTTAAAAAAAAAATAAATAAATAAATTTACTCATGCTGTGAAAACATCAGCACTTAATATAAATATATCAATAAAGTAATCCATAATATTCGAACAGTGTATCTTGTATATTTCAACGCTTTCATCATCATCATCAACATCATCATAATAATAATAATAATAATGCAAATAAACAAAAGGTAAGGTTTTATTGACAGAAGACAGAAGACAGAATTTTAAAATAAAAATTTTTGCCCTGGCCTCACTGAATATTCAATATTATTTAATATTAATTTTGTTATTTATATGAGCGATAGATAATATAGTCAATTTATATTAAGTCGTTGGTGGCATTTACTTTTTTTTGGGTATCTTAAATAAGCAATTTGATTTTTATATTATAAAAATGTAAAATATCTTGTCTAACAACATAGACTTTGTCTTTTAACATTATTTTTCTCTTCATTGCTGCTGCCGTTTAAATGCTACTGGCGATTAACATTTATTTGGCTGTTGCGGCGTTTGCCATCGTTTGCCATCGTTTGAATTTGGTGGCTTCATTCTTACATCATATCAAAATTCAATTTAATATTTCTGGAGTTTTTCATTCAAAAAAAAAAAATAAAAAATATAATATATAAAAGTAACAAAAAATTAAGTCCATAACGTATTGTAAAGTAAAATCTTACCCTCAATTAATTTTTTGATTTTTAATGTCTTTTTTTGTTTTTTTTGGTTCAGATTTTGACAAAACTGACTAATTTTTTATTTGAACCTGAAACATTTTCAATGCCCGACTTAATTACTTTAGTAAACGTTTTTGAGGATTTTTTATGGCTTTGTTATGTATAATGAAAAAGATCTGTTTTCGCCTTTTTTTTTTCTCCCCCCTTATAAATTCCAAAAAAGGTTATGTACTCTAAACACAACAGCCTTATTTAAGTTTTGTGTGCAATGCTAAGGTATCTATTGATTTCGAGATTGTTTTTTTTGTTGTTGTTGTTTTGCAAAAGTGATGAATATTGCATTAAATAGATAAATAGTTAAATAAATAAATAAATAGATACTCATAAAATATACCCTAAATAAAAATTTATCTAAACGAAATAAGTGCAAAAATCCTTGTTGGATAGATTAGCATGGTAAACTTAACCTGCCCCTAGATTATTTCATTAAACGAATTAAAGCAGTATTATCCTTTCTTCAAAATTAAATTTTAGAAATTTATTTTTCTGCAATGAAAACCGGAAAATACAAAAAAGTGAAAGAGGGAAAGGGAAAAAGGTATCGAGGTGATCAAAATGTTGAGATAGAAATTCTAAAATAGCTAGATAAGGAATTATACGCAGATTAAATTTACAAACGAAATGTACACGCTAGCATAATGAAGTACTTAATCCAGTTGTTGAGTTTAATACTATTGGTACACATAATACGAAATAATAATATTGTTAACATAAGAGTGCACACTGCTCACATTTGTATAAGTTTTCATTAGTTTCTTATATAAGGATTTTATCCTTATGCTGTACGAGATAGTAAATTTCAAATCAAAAAAGGTCACAAACGGAAGATTTATCTTCAAAGCGCAATTGTAATTGCTCCTCTGTTTTTACGGCTGTTGTGCAAAAATAATGAAATGGCTACTTGTACATTTCGGAAAGGAAATTGAAATAGTATTGATTTAAAAATTTAAAACTAATACTTTAAGAATATACGTTAAGAGCGAGATTAATGTAAAAGTATTTAAATATATACAAGACCCTCAAATCTTTTGTGATCAAAACTCTCGTATCATATGTGATCTTTAAATTTTTTATACAAACATATTTTAGTAATATCATATTACATTTTTAACATGTTTATTTTATTATTATCATGTTAGTTTTTTAAATACATATATTGTAAACTGTTTATT